TGTGTCCTTCATTCTCTGTGCACTCCTCACAGCCAGAGTCATTATCTCCCTCTGAGAATCGCCTAGAGTCTGCTCCAGATCAACAAAAGGACCATCAGCATCATCAGGGGGAATTATCATTATGGTTAGTGCTGCCCATGGGAGTGGCAGAACCCTGCACTGGACAATCATGCTTCAACACAAGGTGAAGGAGTGATGTGCCCTGATTCGGCATTGGCGTACTGTCAGGCTTCATCCAGCTGCGTGAGTTGCCTTGTTCTGCTCGTAGTTGAATGAGACTGACTCAGTTCTTCTAGTCTGTGTAATATCAGGCTTGATACTCAACACGCTTCAGACAGGACTACTTCAAGACCTTTCGTTCTTCCTTGTGGCAAGCCTGCATGCCTGTAAACCTATCATCCACTTGAGTATTTGAGGGTGCATATTTCTATCTCTGTTCATTTTTTGAAACACAAAGTGCTCATATTGATTTACAGACCTATTACCTATGTGAATGTACAATCACCGTCACCAGTATCCCACATCCTTAGCCAGACCATTGAAATAGGCTCCTGGGTGCACTGACAAGGAAGTTGTGTGTAGGGGTATGATGGATTGGATAGACAGAGAGATGGAGATGGTTTATATCTCAGATGTTGTGGTATTTACTGTTTATACGTTGCTTGAATAAGATTGATTTTAGTGCATCTGTGATATGATAAGCATGAGTGAAAGACTTGTAAAGATATCATACAAAGCCAAAGATGGTCTTTGTGAAGCTCTGTGTTCATCTTTGAAAGATTCTCGATGGTCCCTCAAAGATGACCACATCTTTGAAAGAAAATGTACCTGTCTCCTGAAAGACTAGTGTTTAAAGGTTCAGTCCATAGGACCGCAAAAAGCTGGTGGACCAAACTGAACCTGACCATGGTCTGGTCTTTTTTTCGGTTGCAGTTGCCCCAATTTGGGGTTGGTCCGGTTGCCAGTTGCCTCATTTCGAAAATCTTTTGAAACTGTTCAAAGACTGGTTTTAATCGGTTAC